ACACACACACACACACACACACACACACACACACACACACACACACACACACACACTCTTCCAGCTAGCAAGGTCTTCTCGGCTGGCCTCAATGCTTTCAAAAGCACTGAACTACATTTACAACTGAAATTGTAATATTTGTTCCATAAAATTGGATTTGTGCATTCCCAACAGTACATTTACTTCACTTTCCACTTTGTAGGGTTTCTCTTGGCTGGACTTCTTTCAGAATGTTTTGTGGATGTTAGATTTCTTTATTTTTGTCCAATCAGATTTCAGTTTCTACATATGTGGTGCCATGTCAATCTAATCTGGCCAAGGGCCTTCCAGACTTAGTAGTGCTCTGACTGGCTGGTCAAGTTGTTGCAGCCAACTTCAACCAGCAGAACATAATTGTTGTCATCGTCACACATTAATGCATTTAATAACTGCCATCTCTGGTGAGTACGATGTATTCTAGTTAAATGTTTTGGTTTGTCACGGCAATAGACAATACTGATTCTGAACTGTTCCTGATGATTTAGAGTTGCATGATGTTACAGGTGGGTAGCTAAAACTCAACTCAATTGTGTTTAATAGAGCACTTTAAAACAGTCACTGCGGTTTACAAAGTGCTGTACGTGGAGCAACTATCATATATACAACAATAAAGCAATAAATCAGAAACAAAGATGGTAGAAAGCTCCAAACAGTAAAATTAAGATCAAGTCTGAGTCATGCTGAGTCAAATGCGGGTTTCATTGTTCACACTTGTGAAAGAGTATGTAATAGGCTCATCAGACGGCGATGCCATGAGGTGGCTGTTCTTTTTTCATCATGTGTAAGGTAAACATACCCTGAAAGTGGGTTGCAGACCGCTTTTTTTTTTTTTTTGGTTATGCTTGATGTAAATGATTCAGTTTGAAAACTGTGGGTGGATCTCGTGTCTCTTAATTTGACATTTCTAACTCCTCAGTGCATTGACCACGTCCCGGAAATTCTTCTCACTCATGCAAAGATTGACCACCTAGGAGGTTCCACAGGTCAGATCAAATTGAGGATTCACTGCTGTGTACTTTGTACAAGTTTTGTTAGCTCCTCGACAGTGGCGTAAAATAGGGCGTGTGCCACTTGTACAATACCGGTCCCTCACCTTATAGAACATATCTCTCAGATCATCTTTGGGGTTCACCCAAGAGGCGACTGCATCGCAGAAGAAGATGAAGTCCTGAAAAATCAATAACATTGTAAAGTTTCAAGGAAAAACACAATGGATCCCGTGGACAGAATGTCAAGTCTCACCTGTACCACACCGCCTGGGTTCACGCCAATCATCATGCAAATTCCACGGAACGCAGAGTCTTTCTCTTCATTATCTCGAATGTTGCGAAGTGATGTACACCTGTCGCACAAAAATCATTGTCAACCAAAATGAGGACATGCAAAGTTGATCTAACAGGGCTAGAAGAAAATGGGTGTCTATTAAAAGACTCTCATGCTCATTAGGATGTGAACATGTGCTGGTGTGATGAGATCACATAGATGCAAGGTGGAAAGAAAACAGCAGCAGCCAACCGATCCTTGAGCATTTCCTGATCGCGAGGGAAAGTTGACAAAATGTGGTCTTGCTTGTGCTGGTAAGTGAACTTATAGGATTGTGAGCAGAATGGAAACAGAGAGGAGGCAAGGGGCCCCAACTGATGTTGTGAGCCCACAAAAGACGCTGTTACTGACATCACGTGTAACGCATGCCAAATGAAGCAAGGCTTCAGAAAAGTTCTAGCAGATTCTCACCAAGGTCGAATAAACTGAGGCAGCATGGGTGCAACTTCCTGGGGGCACACATAGCCCAGTCGTCCGATGGTGATTGCTGGAAGAAAGTAAAATTAAGACAGTGTCACATTTTGAGGCTAACTACATATTCGGGTGGAGATACGGGCTTGCCAAATATTCCTTCTGAAAGTTACACATTATCACAAATCTGATTTTATTTATATCCTATAAAGTGTTTATGCTATGTAGTCAAAACACCTTATAGTAATAATGTTTAAACATCCCTGGCTTTGATGATAAGTGTAAAAGTGTATATTTATGCCTCTGGAGCATGTGGTGAACTGCTCAACTGTGATTATGCCACTATTACAGCTAGCTTTAAGATGGATTTTTTTTTTTTTTCTAATATGGATTTGCTTTTTTGTGAGTGCTTATTGGAATGACAAGAGAAGATCCTGAGCCTAAGACTGATGTCTTTCTTTTTTTGGGAGGTTTCATCAAGGCAAGTAAGGTTTAATCTGGAATATATTTGATGAAATATCATTCACCACATCTTTTTCAGTGGCTTCTGACATTTTACTCAGGGATCAATGAAGTATTTTGAATTGTAATCTGTACAATATTTCTTCAAATGCCCATTGC